ATTATTAAATTTTTCATGCTCTTCATGTAACATGATTTTTTATTAGCTTCTCATTTGAGTAAGACAATCTTGAAACATATTTTCATAAATTGCAATTATTCAAACAATGTTGCCTTTAAAATACTCAGATAATTCAATAAAATTTTGCTGTTTAATTAAGAAAAGATAGAAAAATTTTAAAATACCCGTATGGACAAAATTTCGTTCTCGAAATTTGACTTATTGTATATTTCTTTAGAAAAAATCTTGAAATGATGATTTATGCTTGAATCATAAAATCATGGATGTCATTGGGAAGACCTTAAGGAGACGGTTCTGAAACACTAGCTATTACCATCATCAGAATTATAGGTCTCGAGATATTTGCGAAAAACAAAAATACATAAAAATGTGCATAACTCCTATGCTAATGATGCTACGGGGTTGATCGAGGGCTCATATGAAAGATCGGGACCTGAGTAAAAAATTCGATCCCCCCTATAGGATATCCCCGTCAAAAATGCCGTATCTCACATAGTTTCCGAGTTATGAGCGTTTAAAGGTTTTTCTATGTTTCGATGCAGCATAACTTTGTTTTCTGCTTATAACTCAGGATCTATGAGGCCCACATAGATAATGAGCATATCAATGGATTCGTGAGAATGAGATCTTTCGAATGCACTAACCGAAATCATAATCGGAGCATAATTTATGCTAAAATTCGGGCAACTTCCGGTTTTACCCCACTTAAGGAGTGAAATAATTGATTTTTCATATTTTTGACTTGATTCCGCATTTCTACGCATTGAGACGAAGAGAATGAGTGGTCAAACATAAAAATCGGACAACTTTGATTTTTCACCCCCAAAAAATGGCAAGTGGTACCCCTTTCCATTTTTTTTGGCCAAAAAATAAAGGTACTCCGATTTTGATGATCAAGGGCTCAATCTCTTCGTCTCGATGCGTAGAAATGCGGAATCGGGGCACCGATCAAGAAAATTCACTTTAACACCCTTAAAACCGGGTTACACTACATACAAAATACAAATTATCATCCCCTTGACTTTAAACACCTATAACTCATGAACGGACGGTCCAATAATCGTTTTTGAGGACGTTTTGAAAACCTAAGAATCTGAGCTATCTAACAATATCCATAGATTTATTGAAAAAAATTTCTTTCACCCATAAAATCGCTAAAATAAAAAAAAATCACATTTTTTTGGGAAGTTGCCAACTATTTTAGCAATTTTGAGGGTGAAATAAATTTTTTAATCATTTTTTATGGATATGTATCTATAGCTTAGATTCTGAAGATTCTCAATACCTCTTAAAAATCATTATTCGATGACTTGTTCAAGAGTTATAGAGGTTCAAAGTTAAGTAAGGGTAGAAAAATTTATCTACTCTGAACTTTAAACCTCTATAACTCTTGAACAAGTCATCGAATAATGATTTTAAAGAGATATTTGAAAACTTCAGAATCTTAGCTACAGATGCGTATCCATAAAATATGTTGAAAAAATTTATTTCACCCTCAAAATTGCTAAAATAGTTGGCAAACTCTCAAAAAAATGTGATTTTTTTTTTTATTTTAATGATTTTAAGGGTGAAAGAAATTTTTTTCAATAAATCTATGGATATTGTTAGATAGCTCAGATTCTTAGGTTTTCAAAACGTCCTCAAAAACGGTTATTGGACCGTCCGTTCATGAGTTATAGGTGTTTAAAGTCAAGGGGATGATAATTTGTATTTTGTATGTAGTGTAACCCGGTTTTAAGGGTGTTAAAGTGAATTTTCTTGATCGGTGCCCCGATTCCGCATTTCTACGCATTAAGACGAAGAGAATGAGCCCTCAATCATCAAAATCGGAGTACCTTTATTTTTTGGCCAAAAAAAATGGAAAGGGGTACCACTTGCCATTTTTTGGGGGTGAAAAATCAAAGTTGTCCGATTTTTATGTTTGACCACTCATTCTCTTCGTCTCAATGCGTAGAAATGCGGAATCAAGTCAAAAATATGAAAAATCAATTATTTCACTCCTTAAGTGGGGTAAAACCGGAAGTTGCCCGAATTTTAGCATAAATTATGCTCCGATTATGATTTCGGTTAGTGCATTCGAAAGATCTCATTCTCACGAATCCATTGATATGCTCATTATCTATGTGGGCCTCATAGATCCTGAGTAATTAGCAGAAAACAAAGTTATGCTGCATCGAAACATAGAAAAACCTTTAAACGCTCATAACTCGGAAACTATGTGAGATACGGCATTTTTGACGGGGATATCCTATAGGGGGGATCGAATTTTTTACTCAGGTCCCGATCTTTCATATGAGCCCTCGATCAACCCCGTAGCATCATTAGCATAGGAGTTATGCACATTTTTATGTATTTTTGTTTTTCGCCAATATCTCGCGACCTATAGTTCTGATGATGGTAATAGGTAGTGTTTCGGAACCGTCTCCTTAAGGTCTTCCTAATGACATCCATGATTTTATGATTCAAGCATAAATCATCATTTCAAGATTTTTTCTGAAGAAATATACAATAAGTCAAATTTCGAGAACGAAATTTTTTCCATACGGGTAGTTAACTCATTGTTTTTTTTCTCTTTCTGTTATAATGATTATTCACCAGCTGAGAGGATACAGCAAGTAGAGTTCCATGAGTAATCTGCAGTAGGAATAACCGCGAATGAAATTTCCCTCGGAGCTAACTGATAGTACAAAAACGTCCAACAGTATCAGAGGATACCAAGTATGAGCAGATGTGTGGCACAGTACTCTAACGACATTGAATCTACCTAACCAGATCAAGCGTCTGATCGTAATTAGCTTGATTGCATTTATTGGTGATTCTTCAGTGTCAATTCTAGGGTATGCGTTAATTAAATTTAACGACTTGTTGTCAGTTAATGGGAAAATTTAATGCTAGATGAAAAGAAAAATCATAATAATCAATGATTCATTTATTTTTTTTTAATTACTTCTTATATAAGCTTTCACAGAATTCAAACAAAATAATTCAATGATTTATCTTTGTAATCAGGTCAAATTATTCTTTTTGATCCACTGATGTTGGATTTTAATCAATTGAACTTTTAATTGTCCACGAAACTTCAATTATTTTTTATTTTATTTATTATTAGAAGTTGAAAAGAAATTATTTATCAATAATAACATTGTTAAAAATTGTTCAAAGAATAGATTATTTATCACACTATTTAAAAATCTTATCAATAATTATTTTAATTATTTTTTTTCCAAATTTTAATGATTTCCAGTAAATAACAAATGATTGGTGAATACTTAAAATAGTTTCCATGTAATTATTAATGAAGCAGAATAAAAAAAAAGTTGATTTATTTTTTATCTGATTATAAAAAATATGAACATAAAATTAATTGATAAAAAAAATTATTTATTAATTATATATTTGATTGAAGATGAACTATGAGATAGATACCGGGTGATTTTAACACTTTTATTTATTTTATATTTAAAAAATATTCATTCTAATAATTTTAGTATTTATTGTATATTAATAAAAAATAAAAATCCATTAATTGTTCTCACTTTCTTTTTTTTATTTTATTTATCACAAGCATTCCTCTTCAAGTCTTTCATTTTTTATTTCACTCAGTCATTCATGAGCTTGCAATCTTAAAGTTTATTCAATATTTAAAAATACTTAAATTATAACAAAAAAAAAAAAAGAAATGAAAGAAGCTTTTTTTATTTTTCTTATTTTATTCAACAAAAAATCGTGTCACTCGTGAGGATTTTCCTGATCGCAAATCGAATTTACCGCAGCAAAATTTCAAATTCATAGTTAATGTAAACTTGGATTTCTTTTGAATGCATTAAGGACAGGTACATGTGGTGCATATAGAATCATACTTTACCATCACCCACAGGTAGTACATATACGTACATATGTGTAATACTTTCTATTTAATTTCATTGGCGTATGCTTAATGCTTGGCGCCAATTGTCATGCGAAACACGCGTGACCTGAGGATATTACCAAGTTCCTAGACACTCATGCCCACTAGTAAAATATCTCGTTATTCTTCTCTCCTCTTTAAGTCGACAAATACACGAGATAGAGATGTGTGTTAATAAACACTAATAACGCGAGCGAAAAAATTACTGGAATTTAATATAGATTTTGTTCCTCAACCTGTTGCATTTCGAGTTGATTTTTTTGCACTTTGTGAGCTTAAAGTTCTTCCCGTGATTCCTGAAAAAAGAGTATCAGGTAGACCGAAGTCAGAGAGAAACTACAAGCATTAGATTTTCATCCACTTGAGTACCTATTTTCCTCATGGCATCTATCCTCGACCTTTCTTTCTATATTTTCTGTTTTTACTCAATTCTTCGTCAATAAAAAATCAAATCTATCTGTATATATCTATGGTAATACCAGACGACATAATACTTATATCCTTCACTTCATGCATATTTTTATTACTTTTGTTTTATCACTGTATTTTCGAGGACCCAGACTCAATTAACGATCAAACTTCTCTAATGGAAATTCGAGTTAGGGTTGTTATGAAAAAGGGTGTGTCGTCTTTCATATCTAATGTAAAAGCACCCCGATATAATGAAAATACTCTTAAAGATATTAAAAATAATTATTATAAAAAAATACTTTAAGTACAGTAGTCATTAATAAAAAAAAAAAAAAATAACTGTTATTAATATTAAAATCTTGTTAGAAAATTTTTAACTCGTCATTAGGAAGTTATTGTAATGGAGTATATTATCTAAAACAATTCTATATTGATTATAATAATTTTAATTTGTTATAAACAATTTAAAAAAAAAAACCAATGATGTGAAAAAATTATATGAGATGCACTCAGATCCATTTTTTTAAAGTTTAGATTTACAAATATATTTAATTTATTATTGCTGAGTAGTTTAATAATATAAATAAAAAAAAATATTCATATAAAATAAGAAATAAATTTGTTATAAAAAAAAAAAAACTTTTATTCATTTTATTTTCAGAGTTTACGAGGAATCAAGAGCGAATTATCAACGGAGGAAATTGGATTAATTTTCGTCCCGAGCATTGAAATACTTTCTCACTCTTAATTCTCTTTTATCCCACTTTTTCTCATGCCGACAAGTATGAGTTGCTGGAACGGATGGAATTCTCGTCAGCCTGTCTATTAAAGCTGCAGTCAGCGTCGAATGTCGAATGCGACGGACGTGCGATGGATACGAAAATGCCGCAGACGCAACGTACATCCTTCTGATGCTCATATGGATATCATTTTCTTTTCCTCCTTTTCGTATGTTTTAATGCAAGTATATCAAGATTCACCAATTGACAAATAAAAAAAATTGAAAAAAAAAAAAAGAATAATTTAATAAAAACACAAATATTAAAAAATATCAAATCTATTTACTGAATAACTGAAAATATGTATAAATATTATAATCAATGGAGCAGGCAAATATTTCAAAATATTTCCTACAAATACTCGTAATGAAATGGTTCTGATAACATTTTACAGTGATAATAGTTTATATGTTTCGATTTCATCATTGACACGTGCTATGAATTTGAAATTCATAATGGACGTGAACGTGCACTATCATCAATCGAATCATACAAAATTCAATAATAAATAGACATAGAAGATGAACAGAAATGGTGGAATAGATGAAGAATAAGATAGACATTGAAATTGGCATTAACAGGTGTTGATAACGCCACCATGACATCTAGTACTCGTAACGAGAGTGAGGAAATACGTATTTGCTTACTTCCGGAGGATTTAGAAATTCTTGAAGATCCAAGAACAGCATCATTGAGAAGGGTCAGTTATGGAATTGTATTACCAGCCATCTGTTGCTTAGGAATCATCGGGAACATCTTGAATCTTGTGGTACTGACTAGGAGAAATATGCGTGGCACAGCATACATCTATATGAGGGGTAAGTTTTTATTTTTAATTTTTTTGTATTAAATATTTAATTAATTTTTATTAGAATTAATTAACGATTAATCATAACTAAACATTTATTATAAAATATTACAGGGTATGTATTGTGAATTATAAAGACGTACATGTTGTTATGCTGTGAAAAGGATTCAGGATTTTAGTCAATTTTGACACACACACAAATTTTATTACACTAAATATTTAAAGATAATTATGGCTCTCAATAATATGCAGTTTTAATAATTTTTACTTATGATTAAATACTCTTAACTCAACAATGCATAATTTTTTTTAGTCTGAAAAAAATGTATGATGCTACTTAAGGATGAAGCATCCTATGTCTAGTCAAATCCTACATTACTTTTGAAAATTTTTTAAAAGGTTTCTTTTTAAATTATGCGAAGCTAAATTTTTTGTCTTAATTTTAACTAACAATTAATTAGTAATAATTTAAATTGCACTTATTAATAGATATTTATTATAAATAATTTATTGTTTATTAATAAGTTATAATTATTAATTATAAACAAGAGTTTCCATATTAATGTTATAAAAATAAACTCAATAACACCTTATTTTTTTGCATAGATAAATAGTAAAATGTTCAAAGTTTATGAAAGTATGTTTTTTTTCTATAAAAATGGATGAATACATTCTTAAGATCTAGATTGTTTTTTAAAAATATTGGTTGTCATTGGATGCATTGTAGGGTTAAGTTATTAACAATGTTTGAATTCTTATCAATCACAATGGATCGATAAAATTCTCCAAATTTATGATTCTGAAAATTATTAAGCGAAATAAATAAGACAGTAATTCTAATTCTTGATACCAAAGCGTAAAAACACTAATGTCAGTGTAATTTCAATACCTAAACTGTATCTTCCTGAATGAATCTTCTTGAATGAAAGCTTGGATTTATATTTTTGATTCAAGATGAAGATAATATTTCAACTTCTCGATTATAAATAAATTAAACAGATTATGTGTTATTCAATTGAATTTTTTTTTTCAATCTCACAAAAGAGCCAAAAATAAATGGTATATTTTTGTATTCAGTGAGGGCGTTGTCAAGATATATTTATCTAGGGTTTTGACAACCCCTTGAATTAGAAAGCTCAAATAAGAGAAGCTTGGATAATTTGGTTGGTATACAACCGTCCATAAATTTTCGATGGTTTGAAACGAAATCAATTCTACACTACTTAACTGTATTCAATGAAATACCCATTCATGTCTTAACAAGCTCGTTGATTAATCACCAACATGATGACCAACACTACCACCCTGGATTCAATTGCTTATTTATTTCATCATCATTACAACATTAGATTAATTTTAAAAATTAATTACATTTCCTTTTTTGCTTTTTATTATTAAAGACAAGGTTTATTTATTCTTTAAATAAAATAAATAAATAAAAAGGAAGGTGTTAAAATAAGCTGACGATAAAATAAATGAAAATAATATTTAATTCAAATAGATAATAACATCTTATCTACATCTAAATTTTCAACTCCTCATCTTTCTACCTTGTGACAGGAAAGTCATTGGAATTCTTGGCGTTTGATCAAAGTTTAATCTAACCCAATCCAATTAATGTTGAGAGTGTAAAAAGTGAAAAATGAATATGGTCATCACTTTTTACTTGAAAGGCTTGTATCTAAAGCTTTGAAGAGTCTCCTCGCATCTTGTTTACTTTTCTCCCATTGCTTTGGTGGTTAACAACATTGCCTGAGGGATGTAGCTGAAGAGAAAGAGATGAGTGCGAATAAGCAATAGCCTGGCTTCCCTCGCGAATTAACACGGATTACTGGCTCTACTGGTGAGGTAATAAAGTGGCCCCAATTGAACTGAAAGACACGGAAGGTATCATGTCATTTTGTAAATAACTGCCACCAAGATATGAGGGCTTTGATGTCAAAGTTAAGTAAAGAAAATTTGAAAGAAAGAGAGAGAGAGAGAGGGGGGGGGGATATTGAAGAGTGTAGTTAACAAAAAAAAGAACATTCTGCATTGGAATATATTCATGAAATACGACATTGAAGATGTAATATTCTACTGGAATAAACGACTCGTGACAGATATTCATATTTAATGTCAGTCTTTTTTCCATCTTGTCTTGTGCTTATGAAACATTTCATTTCGAATCGAGTAGAAATAAATAGAGCAGAAGTAAATATTATTTAACAATGAATTATTTTTATTGAAAGTAATGTTTTTGATTTAAATTATTGAGTAAGTTAGTAATAACTTTGTCAATTACATTTATTTTAAATAAATATACTTATTTATGAATTATTATTTATATTAGTTTGGTTTAAAATATTTTTTTATTATATATATTTTCTATTATCAATGAGACAGTAAACCCAATCTTCAGCATGTCAGAACAAACTTGATTTATACTACTGAAAATTTTTATTCTTCTAGATTTTAGATGAATCAATGGAATATTTATATTTAAGCAATTTTATATTGTTTATAACAATAGTAATCTGTTGTAAACAAAAAAAAAAACAGACAAGCATTTAATTATTAAATATAAATTATTTAATTATTTATTAATCTAATTATTATTTAAAGATAATGGAGAGATTATTAGATATTAATTTACGAATAATTTTATTTGGATAATAAATTAATGAATGAATTTTTTATGAAGAATATCCTGTTAAAGTAGGAATGATGGATAAATTTGAAGATAAGAGTATTTTACTTTTAATCAATTAATTAATAGTTTCTCTCCACACAAGTTTGAATAAATTGATAATTAAAATAAATTTCCTCTTGATAAAGTTGTGTATGTGATCTTAGAGGGATTTCGGTGAGAATTCGGTAACTCATTGGTGAGTTTTACTGGATGTTTGTTTATGTACAAACACCAATATAAGTCAAAAGTAGTTGAGGAATCCCGAGTAAATAGTTACAAGTGAGTGCCAGTTAGTGTAGCGTATGCGTATCAAGGAGAAGGAAATAAGACATGGAATAGTATCTTGTGGTAATGCATTATGCATTAGAAACTGTGACGCTTTTGAAAACTATGCCATGTTACCAATTAAATGGAATTTTAAATTTCTACAAAACTGTACCGAAAGAAACTCGGAAAACTTGGCTCTTGTGTACTTGAAATAAAAACCTCAAAGATTGAAACTCTTGAAAACGCGTAAATTCACGTATAAATTTTTGTCGACTATTCTTATTTTTATTGTTATTCTTTTTCTTCTATTATCTTTCAGAGTCATTTATCACTAATGGTAGAAGAAAGTATTTCGGGAAGTCGTGATTTATTTTTCAAGTGCAGTAGATTTAAAAATTCATGAACAAAAAATTTACCTTCAACAGGATAATGCTCTGTACTTGCAACAGGATTGTCTTATTTTATTTAAATATCATAAACAATCTTTTTTGATAAATAAATTTTTTAGTTTTATTCTTTTATTTTCGGAGAAATCTTGCATGAAAAGAAATCAGTTTATTGATTACAATTTTTAACATAAAAAAAAACTATATGAAGATATGCTTCCTGCGACTTATATGTATATTAATATCAAATTAATAAGCATGATCATCTTTACAACATAATAAAATTTAAAGGTCATTAAAGCTGGGGGGGGGGAGGGGTTAAACAATACAATTATCATTAATTCCAAATATTTTATTAGCAAGATAGATTATTAAAGAAATTAAATTACTTTTTATCAATAACTTTCATTATTCTTTGTAGTTACTTTTTATTTATTGCCTCAAAACATATTGACAGATTGTTTCCGACATTTTATTATAAAAATTTCAGATGTTTTTAGTCCATATTTTTTTATAGTTTGAAAAGTCAATCAATTAATTGTCGTGACAATAAAATGCAGCTAAAACATACGATCTGAAATAATTTCAAGTGTCATCACATGAAAATCGATAGGTGCTTTAGCAATGACAACACTACAATAAATTATTTTCAATTCTTCTTCATTCTACTGGTATTTCACCAAAATAGATACTTTCAATGTCGCCTGTTGTGCGTATTTCCGGAATGTGCACATTAGTGAGGAAATTACCGGATAATTTAATTACCAAATTTAGTACTCTTCTTCCAAATTATTAATTTCATTAAACCACAAATTAAAACAGAACATAATGATCATTCTCTATAACTAAAGTGTTCTTTTATTCGAAAAATATTCTAATAAATTATTTTTATCACTTTGAATAATTTATTTATAAATCAACATAAATAACTACATTTTTAAAATACTTAACAATATTTTATTTTTAGTATCCAGTCGACCAGATTGAATTGACATTTTCAAGATATTTTTACAGTATTGACAGGTTTTAATAAAAAAAATTTCACTTTATTGGGATTTCTACCGGAAGCTAGGGATTTTAAAATAAAAAAATAAAATTATAGAAACAATAAACATTAACTGTGAACGAGTAATATTTTTTCAATTAATAAAATCGAAATTTCAAAAAGTTGCGATGGAATATATTTTTTTTCAATTTACATGATAACATTTAAATAGATTCATTGCAAATTTCAAAGTGTTTTATATCAATTAACTTAAAGTATTTTAAAACAACGTTACTTATTAGATTAAAATTGTACTTACTTTTAAAGCACTTAAAATATCAGAGGATATTTGATCTTTACAATTAAAAAATTATACTGCAAAGCAGCTCAATAATTTGTAATAAATAATATAATTAAATAATAATAACAATAATAATCATCATATTAATAATGTCACTTGTATTTAAAAAGTCATTACAATCTTGAATTAAACATTAAAATGCATTTTCAAGTAAAATTTCATTTTAATTTAATCAAATATTTTATTGCGAATATTTAGATTAAACTTTTGGAATTTTTTTTTTCTATTCAGTGGATCCAACAGTAAAATTGTAAAAAAATTTTGACTTGGGTAGAAGTACAAGGTGTTGAGTTATTAAATAAATCATTTTGATGGAACGAATAAATAATGGTAAGTTTGG